CACCTTTTCAGTTGAGGCTTTTGGTTCTTCTAGGAGGAAGATCATATTATCTGCCAATGATAGTCATGACATTTCCCCCCAGACCCTCAAACCTCTTGTTTCTGTTTCAGGCAGATCTGCTCCTAATGCTCAAATGCTGTCTTTTCCCAGGTCTTGCCCAGCTGGTTATCGCCCAGCCTGGTGCCGGGGGACAAGAAGCCTGGGTCCAGCATCAGACTGGGCGCTGGGGCCTGTGGCCTCTCGCTGACACCTCTGTGACTTGCCTTCCTGTCATCTGGGCTGAAACCATCCCCAAACCCACATCCACTGTTGAGGTGGGTGAAGGTGGGGGCTCTGTCCAGACCAGAGGCAGGGAGGGAGGAAGCCCCCTTATCACCCAGTGGTCTCCCCCCTGGGCCTGTGGGACTTGCTTGGTCTGGGAGCCCAGCCCCGTCCCTTCTGGGTGCTCACTCCCCCCACCACGGAGCCCCCTGGCCATGTTGGATCCTGGTTGTTTCCTGTCGAGATCCCCAGTGTCCCCTGAGGATTCTGGGTGCCCCCGGAGACACCAACATCTCAGCAAGGATGACAGGGACTCTGGCCCAGGAGGGAATGATGGGTTTCTAGAGACCTGAGCTCATCTAGGTGCTGCAAAGCATCCCTTGGTGGTCTCCTCACTGGGCTCACGGGGCACAGAGGACCAGGCAGTGGTTCAGGAGTGTGGGAACCCCTCTTCCTTCTCCTCTCAAACCACTGTCTGGTCCTGTCCCATGCTTGGTGGAGAATGATTCTCAGAATGTCAAAGGGCAGAAAAGTCTGTCCCTGGCAGGTGGCCAGCCTCTTCCTGGGGTTGGACTTTGGGGACGGACTCCTCCATTCAGAAAGCAGGGAGTGTGAGAGGGGGGTTGGCTCCCAGTGCTGTGGGGGTGCAGGCGTGTGCAAGAGGTGAGGAGAGGTGAGGAGAAGTAGCATTAAATTGGCACCTCTCACACCCTTTCCTGTGCATTTTGGCAAAGTTTGATCATGCATAGGATGTATGAGGACAGCTGAGCAGATGCCTGAGTGTCCTGGGGCGGCCATAACAAATGACACAGACCCGGACCTTTAAAGAAAACTTTATTCTGTCACAGTGTTGGAAGGTGGAAGTCTACAATCAAGGTGTCAGCAGGTCCCACTCCTTCCAAAGGTTCCACGGAAGCTGCCTCCCCCATCTCACGGTGTTGCTGGCTAACTCTGTATGCAGGTCCAGTGAGTCTGTCCTTTTTGGGGGACACTGTGAACCTCAAAAGAAGGAGTGGGGCAAGGGTGCACTGGGCCTGCTGCTCTCCTTCACCCCGCCTCATCCCACTCTAGGCTCAGGTGCCTGCCCCAATCCCATCTGTACCTCTGCTCTGTGTTGTTTCAGAGCATCTGATTATTTATCATTTATTTAGCTCCTCACCCGAGGACATGCTTATGGATTTTAGGGAGAGTGGAAGGCAGAGGGAGAGACAGAAACATTGATGTGAGAGAGACACATTCATTGTTTGCCTCCTGCATGAACCCTGACCAGGGCCGAGGAACCTGAAACGAAGGTATGTGCCCTTGACTGGAGTCGAACCTGGGACCCTTCAGTCCACAGCCTGACGCTCTACCCACTGAGCCAAACCATCTAGGGCTCCAGCACCAATACTGAGTGTCTTCTCAGAGAGGAAACACCATGTTTCTTATCTGATAGCTGGTCTGCTGGTCACCACTGGTCCCACTGAAGAGATAAGCCCCGTCTCCTCCCATGCCCCACCCCAAAGGAGGGCGGCTTCCCCTTGGGCCTGTCTGGGCAGGAGGATAAAGGGGCTCAGAGGGTACAGGACAGAAGCAAACAGACCTGGCATGGTGAGGATGCTGCTCAAAGCCCCATCCTCTCCCTTCCCAGGCTGTGTCCCCGCCCCACATCTCCTCACTGGCTCTCCTCCCTGTCCTCTCCCCCTGCAGATGCTGTGGCTGCTGGTCCTGACTCTCCCCTGTCTGGGGGGCTCCGTACCTGTGACCTCAGGTGGGTCCTGACCTCCAAGCCTGACTCTGACCTGTCAGAGGCCGCCCCTGGGATGGGTGGTGATCCCCCTCTGAGGGTGGCTCTGGGAGGGACTGAGGATGGGGCCATGCTGAGTGCCGGGCAGCGGTGCCTGGGTCCCTGATGGCTCCTCCTCTGCTTCCCCAGATCCTGGCCCAGGGACTGAGCTGGTGGGCATCGTGGGGGGGCATGATGCTGCCAATGGGGCGTGGCTGTGGCAGGTGGGCCTGTGGTTCTTCCATCCAATAAGTTCTGAGTGGATTCTTTGGTGTGGGGGCTCCCTCATCCATCCCCAGTGGGTGCTGACCGCTGCCCACTGCATTCCAGAGTAAGTCCCTGCTCTGCCAGCACCCGGGGGTTGGGGTGGACAATGTCGGGAGGCATGTGATGTGTGTTGGGGGCAGATGCTTGGCTGAGTGGCTGCAGACCCCCTCCAGGATTCAGCTTCCTGGCGCTCCCCTTGCCCACCACAGAGGGGAGGTCTCTGGGCTCTGAGGGGCTGGCCCACTTCCTGCCACAGCCTCTCAGAAGCCTTTGGCCTTCTGTCCCCAGGAGATATCCAGTGACTTAGCACTTTAAGGTCCAACTAGGACGAGTGAGACCCTCATACAGTGTCAGTGTGCAGGTGGCTAGGATCATCCGCCACCCCAACTACAGCCTTGAAAACGGAGTATTAGGTGGGGCGGACGTGGCACTTCTCAAACTGGAGGCCCCCGTGCGACCATCTAACCTCGTTGGGTTGATCAACCTCCCGCCAGCCTCCCTCTCATTCCCCCCAGGCTCACGGTGCTGGGTGACATTGCTTCAGGAGGTGAGAACCAGGATGACACGTGGGAGTGGGAGGAGGAGACTGAGGGCGATGCAGGGGGCGGGCCGGGCTCTACAGAGGAGGCTCAGCTGGGGTCTGAGCTGGGCTCCCTCCGGGGTCTCCCTTGGGTGTAGGAGACAGACAGCTCGAGAGGAGTCTATTAAGGAGCAGAGACCAAAGTAGCAAGAGTGAGGCATGGCCATGGGCATCTTTTTTTTTTTTTAAATATCACCCAGGGATATATCTTCTATTGATTTTTAGATAGAGTGGAAGGGAAGGAGAGAGGAAACATCAATGTGAGGGACATATCTGTTAGATGCCTTCCCGACTGAGGCTGGGGATTGAACCTGCAACCCAGGTACTTGCCCTTGACCAACAATCAAACCTGGGACCCTTAGGGCCAGTGCTCTCACCACTGGAAACACTGCCCAGGGTGCCATGGGCATTTCTCTCCCTCACTCTGCACCAGGCCGTGTCCTCCCTTCCGGGGGTCCCCGTTCTCCCTGAGTCTCCATAGTGGGATGGTGAACGAGGAGGGAGAACTTCAGTGACGTGCTCCAGGATTCACTGTTAAATGGACACATACAAATAGGACAGGAGGGCCGTTCACTCTGCATTTCTTGGGTGAAAGCACTTACTCTGATTTTTCCCAATAAAAATTATTTGTGGATAAAAATATATTTCTCTGTTTCTTTTTGGAGCTTGGTGCCCACAGTGTCAGCCTAGAGATTATTAGCCCATTGGCCTCGAGTGAACCCAGACAGTTGGGGTCTTGGGTGACTCCCTGGGTCCCCCTGGGGGCACTGAGGCTCAGCATGTGGTTCTAGAACCCGCGGCCTGTGACTGTCCGCCCCTCAGGACCTCAGGCTCACTGGGCTTCTTCTCACAGAGCCGCTGCCGCCGCCCAAAAATCTGCAGGAAGTGGAGGTCCCCATCGTGGCGAATGAGATCTGTCGGCAGCAATATGGCAATGTTATCACGGACGACCAGCTGTGTGCCGGGAGCTGGGGACGGAGCACCTGCCAGGTGAGACCCCCAGACTGTGGCCTCCATCCGTTGCTCCTGCCTGCAGGGGCCCTGAGTACTGACCACCTGTGTCCTCTTCCCACAGGGTGACTCTGGGGGCCCCTTGGTCTGTAAATGGAGGGGCACCTGGGTCCAGGTAGGCGTGGTGAGTTGGGCATACAAGTGCGGTCTTGCCAACTTTCCTACAGTCTATGCCCGAGTGACATCCTTCTTGCCTTGGATCCTCGGTCATATTCATTCCTCTCCTTGAGCCCGGGGCCGGGCAAGGATGCTGCCCATGAGATGAAGACAGGCCCTCCAGGGTGTCTGGGGGACCCTCCCTGCTTCCTCCCAGTGCCAGCTCTTCATTGCACCTAGTGCCCCTCTAACCCCCCCCCCCCACACCAGCCCCTCTGAGATCCTCCTGCCTCAGCACCTCCATCAGCCTGTCTCCCCTGACAGGCAAAAGGCAGAGGCGGGGTGTGCTCTGAAGTCGGGCGGGCACTGCAGGACTCCTGCCTCCTCCCCACCCTCTGTAGCTCATTAAACTGCATAAAAAACTGCTCTGGACTCAGTGTACCTACCTGTGGGCGTGGCCAAGGCGGCCAGTGGGTGGCCCGTGGGAGGGGGACCAGGTGGGATGGGCAGCTATGGCTGCAGCGAGGAAGAGGGCGACCTGGCGGCTCTCCTGGCTGGGGTGGAGGTGAGTCTGCTGCCCGGGGCTGGAGGCCACAACCCGGAGGGCCGGCCCCAGAGGGTGCAGACCGTCCCTGTTCCTCCTTCAGTGGCAGTCAGTGTGTCATGGAGGCTTTAATGACTTGGACGTGGCCGCATGCAAACAGGAGGTGCTGTGTTTCCATGGTCACTGCTGCTCCATCTGACCCCGTGGCGAAGAACCCCCATTTTCCAATGTGATCAACTCCTGGGACCAAATGAAGTGCAGCCTCATTTCCACACAGACCCTCAGTCTCCCACTCTTAGCTTCTCCCAAGCAGGGCGGACCTGCAGGGGCCCAGGACCAGCCAGTCCTTCTCTTCCCCGTCCCCACCCTCCTGCTTCCCCAGCTCCCGGGTCCTGGTTGGTTGGAGGCAGCAGAGAGGAGGGAAGAGAGGGGACCCCCGCCCCCCCCAACTCCACAGGCTGCTGTCCTGGCGCTGGCACCCCTTCTGGAGATACACTGCTGTGCATGGTCCCCTCAGGCTCTGCAGAGCCCCTCCTTTCTCCAGGGGGTAGGAGGGGGTCCCAGTGGACAGAGGAGCTTCAGTTTCAAATCCAGGAAGTGAGAAGGGGCTGTGGAGCCCCCCCTGCCCCAGGCACTTCCTGCAGGACTAGGACTTGGGGGGCATGGATGGTGCTGACTGGGGTTGGTCCCGCACCTGCAGGTTGGGGCCAGGACCCAAGAGGGCCTGTGGAGCCTGAGGCGGCCTGTACTGTGGGTGAGGGGGCTCCATACCCTGCAGCTACAGGCTGGTCCCCAGTCTGATTCTACAATGGGGTGGCGGCCTTCCAGACCTTTCAGTGCCAGGACCCCTGCCTGCCCCACCCCACCCCCCGGGGGCCAGGGTGGAAAGCCCTCCTCTCTCACTGTGGCCTGGTCCTTCAGGGAGCCCTGGACTCCGAGTTAGGGAGAGTGGAAGCTCCAGGGCAGGCGGATCAGGAGCTGCTTCCCCCATGTGCCCGGGACTGAAGTCTGGGTTCGTGGCAGCCAGGAGCTCTCCAGGAAAGCCTTTTCCTAGGAAAATGAGGCCTGAGACTCAGCTGGAAGGCACCACCATGCAGATGGCCCCCCTTGGGGATCTGCTCCGCCCAGGGAGGGAGGAGGGGGTGACACAGCACAGCCTGGCCCTGTGCCCTCGCCCTCGGGTTTCAGGCACACGTTCTGCCTAAGTGACTGCCTGTCCACGGGGCCCTGTGGGTGGGTGGCTGCCAGGTGGTCAACACACATCCAGGTCCCCCTGTTCCCCCCAGGAGGGTGTGGGCTGCCTGCCTTGCCATTGGGCTCTGGGGACTGTGAGTCTTTGTAGGGCTTTCCTCCCTGGGTGAGGGTGTAGTCAGACCTTTAGTGTTCCTAGGAGTAAGATTGAGGGTCTGAGTGAGTCAGAGGCCAGCGCTTCCAGGGGAGGGAGAAGGACCTAGGACTTGGTGTTGGAGGGAAGGCTGGAGTGAGACACGCCTGGACCTGGGGCTGTGTCTGCAGGCATGGCCACGGGGTGGACCTGCAGGGCTGTCTCTCCAGAGGATGAGAGGATGGGCTCAGGGCCGTTGCCCTCCCCCTACCCACCCCCCCTGTACTTGCCTGGAATCACCACCCTAGCACAGCTTCCTGGGCTCAGCAGTAAGGGAAGGTGGGCGGAACCAGATACCTGGGTGGAGATGGAGGGGCCTCTTGCCTATGGCTCTGAAATCTGTTCTGACTGAGCCCTGCACCCACATGGGTGGGTGACACTGAGCCAGCAGGGCTGTGTCCCCATAAAGAGACCCCTGCAGGCCAGGTCAGTGCCCATGGGGACCCTGCGGAGGGCCCACAGGCGTTGGCCTCTTCCCCTTGTCTGAGGTGAGAGAGACACCTTCAGGGCTTGGAATGGAGACTCCACGCAGGGCCATGACCTTCCAGGTGGACATCACACCTCAGTCACCACCAGGCTCTCCCCCTGTGTGGTGTCCTGGGGTCGCAGTGACAGCCCCCGACTGGGGAGTGTGGGCTTAAAACAAGACAAATGCATCCTCTTACCGGCTGGAGGCCAGGAGCCCGCAATCAAGTTGTTCTGGGGCCACACCTGTTCCAAGGCTCCTGCCTCCTGCAGCTGCTGGTGGTGCTGGGACCCTTGGTTGGGGAGGAACCTCTGGACCCCCACTCCGTCCACCCCACCCGTCTGTGCTCTCCGCATCCTCACCTCTTCCCAAAAGGAACCGTCATTGCATTTAGGGCCTCCCCCCCTCCACTCTGACCCCATCTGAACTGGTTGCATCTGCACTTATTTCTAAAGCAGGTCAGGTTCTGAGGGACCGCACTGGTCCACACTGACTCCCTCACTGGTGAGGTTACAGGCCACCAGGCTGTGTGCTCCTGAGAGGGGGAGCGCACCCCTGAGGAGGCAGGGGCCTGGCCACAGGAAATCTTTAGGATTCCCACGGCCCAGCACCCAGGGCCCCCATCAAAACAACAGGCCAGTGAGGGCCTCTGCCCCTCTCAGGGAAGCAGCGTGCTCCCCACCTCACAGTGCCCTCCAGCCCCTGACGCTGGCCGCACAACAGGCTGCCGGCTCTGAGTGGTCCCAGCGCTGGACAGGGCTCTGCTGCAGGTCCAGCTGCACTGGTGACACAGGTCCTAGCAGACACAATGGTGGTAAAAGTATTGGTGATGGGCAATCCCCACAGGAGACAGGACTTCGCAGGCCCTGCAGCCTGCACTGAGGACTGTTCTTGAGATGTGAGTGACAGCTGGTGTCTTGGTTCATTGAGCCTCTTGTGTCTGGAGGCCAGGGAGCAAGACGTGCCACCATCTTGGTGGGACAATGACACTGAGCACCAGGCAGAGGCAGGGCTGCTGTGTCACAATGGGGGGCAGGGAAGGTGAGGGCCCTTGGGTGTCTCTTGCCTCCTCCTCGTCAATGTGATAACAGGTGGACACGTGCAGCCACCCCGCCTGAGAAGTCCCTGTGACCAGAGCTCAGCCCCTCAGGGATGGGGGTGTGGGTCGTGCTACCAGGTAAGTCCCAGAGTCCTGGTTAGTAGCAAAGGGTGGGATCCAGGTGGACAGTTGGAGGGGCCCTGTCGGCCTCAGTTGTACCCTGAGCCTCTGCTTCCCAGTTTCCTGGGCAGGGACTCCTCAGTGGTACTTCACCATCCAAGGCAGAAGACGGTGGACACTGCCGGACGCAGGGGCAGGCCAGGTCCCCCTTTAGGACAGGACATGATGACAGTTCCTGGGAGGCCTGGCAGTTCCTCTGGATGCCTTGCCCCGGCAGATCCCTCTTGGCTGGAGCAGGGAGAAGCAGGAGCTGGCACTGTGTCCCAGTGGGGTCGTGGCCTGGGTCTCCCTGTGGGCTGGTCAAGGTGTCATCAGCCTGCATTGTGCTCCAGCCTCCCCCTCTGCCCATCTCTGCTCCGTCCACCTGCCTCCCAGGTGCCTCTCCCTGACTTGTACCCACATGAAAGCCCATCTCTGTACAGCTTCTGGAGAGCACCCTTCAGAGGGCAGTGTGCAGGGCCACAGCTGGTGGCAGTGAGGGTGGCCACAGGCCACATGCCACGCAGATGGCATGCTCTAATCAGATGGTGGTGAGCTCCACGCAGCCTCACAGGGTTCAGAGATTTCAGGGGCTGCCCTGTGGCTTGAGGGACCCAGCAGCAGCTCTGGGGCTCTGCCTCCCTGAGCCCGTCTGCCTGAGCCTAGCCCTCTGGGACTTCTAGCAAAACTGCACCCTCTCAGCAGCTCTCCTTGCTCAGGCCGCCAGCCTGGCTGTGCTTTGTGGCTGAGATCCGTGCAGCCAGAGATGGCTGCTGCCCAGTGACAGCAGTGGCAGATCCAGGGGAGGCAGTGCCAGGGCCCAGCAGCTCCTCCCTGCCTGCTGACTGTACACCTGACCTGCTGTGGGCCTGAGAGGGGAGCAGCTCTCTTGCCCTGGG